CATCCAGCGAAAGGACCTCGATAATGAAAAAGGTCTATTCACTGGATGTGAAATAGTCATGGTCTAATGGAGTTCACATCCAGCGAAAGGACCTTCTCAATTATGAAAAAGGTCCTTTCAATGGATGTGAAATAGTCATGATCTGATGGAGTTCACATCCAGTGAAAGGACCCTGAAGCTCCTAATCAGCTTTTTAAACAGTTTCGTCCATCAAGTTCTTTTCATTTTTTTTTTTTTTTTCTTTTGCGTTGACCAAAACATATAACTTTTCGATCGAGTGAAAAGGCCTTCTCGATTATGAACCATGAATCGACAATTAGGAAAATTTTAAGCTTTTTAAATATTTATTTTGTTCTCTATCTAGATAATTTTGAGTGCTCGTTGAAAACATATTGAAATAGATCAAATTCACTATGGTGCACGTTCCGTTCAGTTCTTCTAAACGCATCCCACATGGAAAGGAGCGAGTATATGCGTTCAAAGCCATCATCGTCACAATCAAAATTTTGAGTATGCTGGTCATGGCAAGGGGTTAATCATCTAAGGTCTAGGGGCCGACTAACCTCTCCCTTAGGCTTCGGCCGAGCTTCCTGATCAGTCTGTAAATCTTCGGGATAGCGGTGTCGGGGCCGAAATCTCCGGCGTAGCCGTAAATGCTTCGCGCTGCCATACGAAGGTTCAGCACTCGATGTCTGGAAGTATGGTCCTTTATTAATTAATTAAAAAGTAAAAATCCCTTAATCTTGTTCCATAGCATATCTCTAAATATGCACAATGATGTCTATTGACTATCTAACGTCGTGCCTATTCTCGATAAAAGGGTCCATTGCCGACACTCATGTATTTGTATACAAAATAGACACTTATGTTTTAATCGTTACACTCTTCAAAAATAAAACAATTTAAAAGTCGCGCGCTCGCGAATTGCATGTACGTAGTTAGCCTGACCAGTTAGAAGATAAGTGTTCTACGAGCTACTTATCAGTTAGATCGATCCGAGACCACCTCTCGCGGTGGTCTAGTTAAGATCGATCTCGGACCTATCGCGGTTCGCTTTGGACCGTTCACACTTGGCCTGGTCATAGTTAACAGTGTCTTTCGACCTATTTTAGTAGATCTATCTAAATAGCTAGTGTGAATGACCCCTCAGGATCAACTTACAGTCAATGGACGAGTATGGTTTAGGAGTTGATTAGGAGCTCCATTCTTCACTGGATGTGAACTTTCTGACTGACTTAGTTCATATAATTTCTCTTAGTAAATGTTATTTCCAAGAAGAATGATCACCCGCCGTGTTCTGACGACAAGCGCGCGGGACAGGTGTTTCCGTTCAAAGACAAGCCGTCCAAACGTCTTGCCTTCTCTACATGTTCATCCGTTTACACAAGCTACACCACGTCAATTTGTCGTCAAATATCTAGTATTTTGATTCTCTCCTCAGGGAATTAAAGGACTTTGAGGTAAATATTGTGATATTTTTGCCAAAGACATTTAAAATATACCGAACACATACAATTACTGAAATGGCGAAAACTCAGGTAACATAGTCCTAGGAAGGGCATAAATGGAAACCAAATTTACTAGCGTTAAAATGAGCTCTATTCAATTTTTCTATCCTTCAAATGAGTAAATAAAAAAGTTCCAGAAGAAATGTTTACTAATGGGAATAAATACGAGTGAGAACTAAAGCCATCGAGATTTAGAATCGGCAGAGTTACTAAAATTCAGTTTACTTCAAACGAAGAAACAGTAACAAAAAGAAAAAAAAAGAAAAAAAAAAAAAAAAAAAGAAGAAAAAAACAGAAGGAGAAATGAATAAATTAACGTAAATTAGATCTGGCATCATGATATTAGTTCTAGTGTTTTACCATTTAATGTAATGACTAAAAACGCTTCTTTATAAAGTTTTGAGAGCGCGGTATTTTTGATGTGAATCAGCTAACAATGTAAGATATGAGAATGTTGAAGATGAGTATTTTTCAATTAAAAATGACGTTCGACAGAAAAAAAACCCAGAATTTTCTGTAAACAATTAATAGACTTACCGACATTTTGAAAGGGATTTCCTCAGCGATTTCTTTTCTTCTTTCTCTTTAATTTTGTTTTTTTGACCTTTAAGGTCAGGAGAAGCTTGTGCTGCAAAACGGCGTTCTCCTGTGAGTGGAAATGCCGTTTGATAGACTTGTTATTTAGGTATAGAAGACACTCCGCCAGTGCTGCATCAACAATCCAAGCAAACTTGACAATATTTACATTCATAATTTCAATATGAATGGACCGTGGGCTGATATTTAGTTACACCTATACACCAAATCTCACAAACTGTGGAAAATATATCTAATATATTAAATGCACATTATTACATCACTACATAAAATCTAAATATAATTGTGATGTTTTGAAAAAGGGGGAAAAGAGTTGAAATTAAGAAAAGGAAACGAACCGTTGTCCTGGCAACGCGAAGAAGACCATGTAAACCATTGTGTAAAGGTGCTCGTTGTAAGAGCAGCTGAAGTCTTGGATTATTAAAACCCATCAAATGGTTGGAATATTTCCATTAGGGCTTCACTTTTATCGCATGTCAGTCATAGAAAGAGTGTGTGGTCGTCCAATCATATTCTGTATGTACAGGAAATTCAAATTTCCCGATCGTCTAGAAAACGAGAAAATGGCACGCATAGAAGAGGGCGGACAAATTTTGAAAACTAGTAAATATCGTGGAAAATACATGTACAGGAGCAAGGAACAAGACACGGTAGCACTTAAATGGGATGTCAATCTTACGTCACAACTTACAGCTCTTCGTGATTGGCTCACATTAGAGTTATCTCACATTTAAGATCATGGTCCCTTTTGTTCCTTAGTACTATTTATGCCATCAAACCTAAGGTTAATCCTCAACCGTAGGACGAAGTGCATGGCTAATGTAGTTTCTGATTTGTCTATAAGAGCCATGCATGCAGCTATCATGTATGATGAGTGTAAGGTAAAGTCATCTAGATTTAGGTTTTCTTCATTATAATGTCGCATTTTTGACATCGTCATCATGCAGTGTGATTTTGAATTCGTTAACAGCTTTTATAAGGAGCTTGCCGTGGTCTGCGGTTGCTGCGAGAGGAGACAACCGCAGACCAACAAGCAACGCAGGCTATATTCGTCCTTGTAACCCACTCGACCACAGAGCATTCTCACTCTTACTGCGCATGCTCAATAAGAGGACAGACAGATGAAGCTGACATCAACGAGAGCGCGCTCTTTCCTTTGGTTGTTTTGATCACTAAAAATGAGAACTTTTTATCGTTTTTGTTATTGTAAAAAACAAATAGACATCAATTTTTTATGTGTCTGTATCCTTATTGACGATAAACGAAGTTCGTTATCATATTGTCAAAGTAGTATGCGGATACACTCGGCTACGCCTCGTGGACCCACACTACTTTGACAATGTGATGACGCAATTTATCGTCAATAAGAGGACAGACAAATAAAAAACTGATGTCTATTTGTTAAATCGGCGCGTTATTTTTACGATTAAAAGTGCTAAAAATAAAATATCTGAAGCGTATCAACAATTTTTAACGTAGACAAACAGGAAAAAATTCAGTTGGGTAAAAGATAATATGAATTAACATTTTTGTAAATCATCAGTAACCGCACATTTTAAAATATTATTTCATCAAAAGGAAAGCATTATTTCCTCTTTTCTTTTTTTTTGGGGGGGGGGGGGTGATTTTTATTTTTGGTTTGTTCTAAATTTAGTAAATGTGTGATAAAATAATTTGCAAAAAGGAAAAAACAATTGAGTCGTGCATAACGTCACGGAGCTAAGCTTCCTGAGGTCAATGAGTTATTAACCATACGCACACTGATAATTCATCTCTTCCTCATTCTTGTGGTTAAGATAGATTAACATGTCTGAAAAGTATGTAAAAGGCATTCAATTAGAAAAAAGGGGTGGGGGATGATATTGCGGAGTGGAGGGGGGGGGGGGGGAGGGGACGAAGCTGTTGCATCAAATCAGTAAAGAGGTCCTTCACCGTTAATGGCTGTCGCTTACTCTCTTTAATTTCTTCAGCAACGACTGGAGAACCAGCTCCCCTAGACGCTGGGGTTATTAGTAGGGTTAAAGCTGCAGAGTCGTGGAGGGGGAGTTGGAACAGAATTGTTTGGGGAAGCGGGGAAAGGACACGCAAAGCGCCCCGAGAGAAAACTCCTGTAACTCAGCGTGATGACGATCATGCTGAGAGAAAGGAACCTGAACGCCCCCGTAGTAGTTTATGATGTCCGCTCTAGCTATGGTAGGGTGGGGTAGGAACATTCAATTTCATTTGTTATTTTTATCATAAAGGTCTAGTTTCCGTTTTTAATCAGAAATCCCTCCGTTTTACAGTCAGTGTTATTTAATGAACAATTTTACCGCCATGACCTTGGATAACAGTACCCAATGCATTTTTATGTCGGATGACCTTGGACAACAACACGCAATAAACATATCTATCTTTTTGCTTCCTCTGTTTCGCAGAATTCGTTGAGTATTGACGTCATGTCGCATGTGTCAGTGAGCAACTATGGCGTTTCGATACCTCCCGACGACGTTATCAATTTACCGTTACAAATCCTTCAATATGAGAAGAATTAAAGTCTTTATGGCCACAAAAAACAACTAGAAAACAAATGTCGAAAATATTTTGATTATCAAAAATTTGTTATTATTATTGGATTAACGACTTTCCGTATCACGTCGTAAGTGAATAAGTCAAAAAAATATGGTACGAAAGTAAATATTGATTATACATAGAACTAAAGAGAGTTCTTTGCAGAAAATCTTATAAAAATACTTAACTTGTAATATACTTAACTTGCGTACAGTCCGACTCTAACTCTGGTTAATTATGTGGAGCTGCACGCAGACTAATCTCTGAATTCTCTTCATTGCAGTGGAATTTTACTACAACTTCCGGTACTAAATGTGATAACCTTTTCTACGATTTTACAGTATTTGAGTCCTGTAACAAACCGTAAAACCATTAACGATCTAAATATAATAATATGCCAGTATAATTTAATAAAGTAATAAATTAATAAATTAGGACTAATTCAAAGAGACAACGACATACGATCGTTGCTATGGGGATTCAGTGACAGGTATGTGTGACAGCTGACGATCACGCCATCGTCATTCGATGATTCGACCTGCAAAGCGGCATGAAAAACAGAATACCTAGCGTGTCGTAGAGAACTGAAACGGAACTGCAAAAAAAGGCTCAATAAATCTTATTGAATATCGAAAGCTACGAAAGGAATTGGATGAAACGCCTAATTAGAAAGAGGTAAAGATGAGAAATGTCATTTACAGATCTAGAGTTTGAGCAAACAGTATATGTGACTGTTTGAGCTGAGAAGAGCCAAAATAGATCATTGCAGTTTACAGATGAGAATGACTCAAATAACTTGGAAAAATGTGAAAAAATCTAAATCTATTGTACTCATGAAGAAAATGAGACACAAAATAAAGAGGTAAGGACGCAGTCAGTATGGAAAAATAAGTATATTGATGGCATAGTATCATTGACAACATGCTTGCTACTATGATGATGTTATTAATCAATAGAAAGGTGTAGCTTTCTTTCGCAGTAGCTCTGTACAAGAATTCCAACGTAAAGAAAAGGTCAAATCTTCAAAAATTCAGTGTTTACTAATCAAAATCAAGTGAAATATTTTTWAAAATGTATTTTGACTATTACTGATTCCCGATATCTTGAATTGGAATCACTGCTCAAAAGGACTCTGGATCTTCGCGGATCGATTTTTCAAGTCTTCGCGTGCGGACGAACAGCGTAATATTTTACTTTTACGATAATGTCACATAATCTTTTGATATGTCATTTTTGCACAGCAATAGTATCTTTCCTTTCCGTTGGAACTTAGATATCCTAGTCTACTGGTTAGTCTAGTAGTTGGGATCTAACAATGCGTGTAATTTTGCAGTGCCCACGTTCCGAAAACAAATAATCTTCTATTTTGTCAAGAATGAATGACTTTTTTCTTCAATAACATTGATTTATATATAGCTGTAAAGAAACACGCTTTTGCACAAATTATTCAAGAAAATATGAATAGATTGATGGGTGAGTTTGGCCACCCCTTGGTGACAAATATGTGATTCTGATACGGGGGGTGGCTTGAAATCATAGTACTACCCTACCCTCTTTTGGATAAGACCTCTGAAAGATCTATTAATTAATTTGAGCTTCTTGTAGCAGTGGGTATTAAAACATGCGCCAACGTTGTTGTTTTTTGGTCATAAAAGACAACAGTATTCAATAACTTAAAACAAGCAACCATGGATTTGTTAATCTTTTAGTCTGGGGTATTGACACTTGGATAAGGTATTCTTTGTTCTGTGAATCTTGACCCCAAGTCTGTAAAGCGTGGTTTGTCTCTGTTTCTTGATAATAGGTTCAAACCAAATTCAACTAAAGCTTTATGCTAATGAAACCAAGGGTGAAAAGCTGTTTTGTTACTCCTTTGCCCCCAGTTGTGAACCGACTCTGCTAATTACGTCATAAAAGTTCTTATAGCGTAATGCCAAGTGCATTCAAAAGCTAATCAATGACCAATGCTTTTATAAAATAGCAAAACCGTAAAAACAACTTTGTTAAATCGGGGGAAAAATTAACGCAATATTTATACACGGCGCGCGCTACTCGGACTGTGCACTGTGCACTGTACACCATACCGAGTTTTTGATGTACATTAAATAACCAATCAAAACGCGCTTTATATCGTCGCATTCGTGGTATATATACTCCAAAAGAAACGAAAAAAAAAATTTTCTAGGATTTTTTGGGACTTTTTTTTGGATCCTAGTGAAGTGAATTGCGTTATTAGGGCGATTTACTTCCGGTGACAGTGCGCTCGTTTAGGAACCTGGAAACTAGAGGAAGAACAAATGGTGATGAGTTGTGCAAGGCCACGAAATCCGCCAAAAAATGCCTTAAAAACTCTATAAATCCCCACAAACTAACACTCATAGACCTACAGAAGATACAATAATGGAGTCAGATACGCAAAATGTTGAGAAAGAAGAAGTTAAACCGACTCATTCTGGTACAAACGAGAGACCTAAATCATTAGACTTGGATTTCTCGTCTCGGAGTTCATTGACCAGCATTAGCGATAAAAAAGAAACCGAAACTAATGAGTCTACAAGGTGGGCTAGTTCTTATTTAGACGGCTAACAAATATAATTTAACGTCTTAGGTTCTACGATTGGATCTAGTTTGTACTTCATTGATTAAAAATATTTTTCCTCCAACTTTTAATCACAGGAAGGCGTCTCCAACATCTCACGAAGACGAGTCGTCTTCACTAAATAATGCGGAATTGGACAGGTAATCTAAGATTTGTACACATAATTTTAGCTTTTCTACATGAATTAGGATTGTAGCTATCGTGATTCAGGTTTTTTGTACTTATTAAGGTTTTATTTGAGGCAGAATTGTTTGAGGTTTTGCAGGCCAGGAGAGCGTATAGTAGCTACAGTAGTTCAGCTGTGGTAGGATTATTGATGTTGAGAAGATTCAAAACTTTTATTCACAGATTTCGTAAGCTCCAAAAATTCTCATCCTCAGTCTTGATTATTTTTTTAGTTTAAGTTTAGGATCTCAGGAACTGGAGGACATAGAGGAAAGATCGACAAACAGAAGGTAAATCTTATGAATATTAAAACAAATCGTACATGTAAACAAAGGAATATTTTGCTGATAAAAAATCATTTGCGTTCAAAATTGGCGAGATTACTTTTGGAAGAACGGAAAATGAAATAAAACTTAACTTCTAAAACTCAAAAATAAATCCACCAAACATTAAAATCTTACTACTTATATAGTATTATTTAAGGTAAATGTTTTCTTAGGTTAATGAACCTGATGGAGATAATAATTTGAACATATATTTTTGGCTTTGAAAAGGTTTCTTAATCTTACAAGAAAACCTTTCCATGGTTTATTTTAAAATTGAAAATTCACCAATTTTCTTCAGACATTTGTTGAAACATCTGTTAACTTTATGGAAATTTCTTCAATTCAGCAACTGTGGATTTTTGTTGCCAATGTCATTAATTATTAACTGCAGGATCTTGAGCTTTATTCCTTATTGGTTTTCAATTTTCAATTCATTAAACGTAACCACAAGTTGTTTGATGAGGGAAAAGACATCCATTGCGTGGAAACTGAATAGACTTTTATGAATCATTTGATTGTAACTACACGATTTATATGTACAACTATTAAGATAATTATTATTATGGTAATGTGTAGCTCCAGAAATTATCCAAACTCCAGGGAGGAATTTTCTTAAGACCCCCTTTACCACAGGAAATTCAAATTTTCTTCCATACAGACTCTGTAATTTTGTTCTTTCTCTGACTTTCCACGTCTCCGAAATTCCAAATTCCTCTGTGGGGGGTAAAGATAATTTGTGGAACCACACAATATCAGAAAAAGATCCAAAAAATACAGTATGTGAAAGGGAATAAAATTATGTGTGATGTATGGCTAGTGGTCTCCTTTGCACAGTTGATACTTAAATATTTTGTAACTAGCTCTTTTCTTTATATTTATTACCATAAATAAACCATATGCTGAAGTAGATTTTAATTTTTCATTTAAACTATACTACTTAATTACAATATATTTAGTTGCGATGATCTTTTAAATTTTGATTCTTGGACTTGTTATCTCTTGTGAGTAGAGTTTCTTGATCTGAGGGTTTTTCTCAAGGGTGGGTGTGGGGATTTCAGATTTGCAGATTTTGACAATTTTACATGCAGTTTTTTGGACCTTTTTTTCATGATTTTGCAGTTTCATCAAGAAGTGCAGATTTTTTACATTTTAATTTTTTTTAGCTTTCCTTTGTGACCTGTTTCCCCCCCTACAAATTTTTTCAATGAAATGGTTTTTGTTCTCAGCTTTATCACACTGATATCGACCCTAAAAGTGTTATAAAATATAGAAAGATATTTAAAATGTTGGCAGTACTAACTAGAAGTAACACTGTGCAAAATAAATGATTAAGAGAAATAAATAGAATACTCAATGAAAAAAAAAACAAAAAACAAAGATGATCGGAGCATATCGTTATATTTTCACATTTCAGATAAGTAATAGTAGAGATATCAAGCTGTTATATCACTAAATGTGTAAACCATAAATTCAGAATTTAGACTATTAGTGCTTCTAGGCTATACCTTCCTTAATCTATACATGGGGGACATTAAAGAACCTGTAGGACTATTCAAAAAAAAAAAAAAAACTGGAAGTAACACAAGTAATTGGGATGCTACTTGCTTTAATGTATATAGAATTAATGCAAGGAGAACTTAAGATGATTGTTTATTTTCAATGGTTGCCATGGCTATATCTTTTAATTAAACTTGCTTGTCTGTTATCTTTTGAGAAGTTAAAAAAATGGATTTATTCTAGAAGGTCAATTGATTATCATTTGTCAAAATAGATGAAGATGTAGATTTATTTTAAAGTTTGCATCATTGAAATGACCACTGGCAAACGCTATCCTAACAAATATGAAATATTATTTAAATCATATTTATATTCAAGTGCTTCAACGAATGATATTGCATGAAATTATTTTTACATATTTTTATTCATAATCTTTAAATAAAAACAAACAGAAAGTATTAAGATTTAATGGCTTGTAAAATGTTTGTGAATTATGGGATAACGTAATAGCAACTTCTGCAATTAAGTTTAAGAGTACCCYGTGGTGGTCTTGGAGTAGTCAAGCTTTAAATGTAGATCTTTAAAAAAATTTTAAAAGATTTAATTGCAATCACGAGAACCTGGAGTGAGTACGAAACTTTTTTAAAGAGTGAAGTTTGACGGAAAGAGGAGAGACAAATGTCACTGTTATGAAGAGCAGGTGGAGAAAGACTTCACTTAAAAAAATTCTGCATCTTTACAGTCTCCTACAGTTGTATGGCCTGGTGTTTGCTGAACAATTAAAACAGATTTGCATAATGTCAGTCTGCCTTTACGGTAATCTTAGAATTGCCATTAAAGCAAGACCTTCCTTTGATGGTGTTAATTCACAGACAACTACTGGTTAAACTGTTTGAATTTTATCACCACCCTATGGTGTTTTTAATAGTTTGTTACAAGATAAATCATGCTTAACTCTGAGTTGGTTTACAAAGATGGTGATAAATGCTGTGTTAGGAAAAAAAGGTGTGTTTTAGTACCAATAGTGTATTCATACTGTAAAGTTATTAATTATCAAGCTAATACATTTGAAATATTATTCTGATATGTAGTGTACATGTAAAYTACAAAGAAGGGGAATTTTGACACCCTTTGATCAATAATCGTGATTTTCACTGCACAAATAATGAAATATTTTAGGGAAAGATTGTGTCTTAACTTAAATAATGATTCTATTAGAAAAATTAAGAAAATGAAATAATTTCTTTTTCAGTTAAGTTCTATTAATTGTTTCTTAAATAGGGGGATGATTTTGTTGTTAGAATAGTTTCATGCTGTTCATCTCGTGGCTTAAATCAATATCATTGTATTTTATGTATATAATTATAATAGCTTGAATTAAATATCCAGCGTTTAATAAATCCATGGGTATAGTGCTTTCCCATTTCAGACCAGGTATTTTCCTTGAGATTAGAATGATTTGTTTGCCAGGAACTCTTAGATTGATGCATTAATATGGATGAAATGCGAATGATTAATTTTATTGCAAAGTGGATTGGTTCTAATGCTAAAAAAATGTTCTAAAAATCTTCACATATGATGGTATAACAATAATGATTAATTAATATTAATGATAATAGTGATGAGGTTAGAAAGTTATGAAATTATAATACGATTATAAAAGAATATTATTATGAATGGAATTAATTTTTTTTCGTTGTCAAACTTAATCTGCGAAACAATACAAAATATTGTAAATCCATATGTACTAGTAAATATCATGTTATCTTTTAACTTTTTTTTTTTTACAGCCAAAGCATTGCCAAAAGCTTGAAGTCTAGGATAAGAGACTTAAGTCCTTCAAGAAAAACACCAAGTCCCAAGCCAGAAAGAAAGATTAAGAAAGCCAAAACCCCAACCAAATTACCAGTGAGTTGTTGTTTGAAAATTCTTGGGATCCCTGTGTCTTGGGGATAATTTTATTAACAATGCTGTACATGGGAAGTTTGGGTGATAGCAGCCATGACAGGAGGCAGGAACAATTGAATCTGTCTAATATGGTTTGCATGAGAAATAATTCAGTTTCCCAGGGGAGAAAGACTCCATTGTTGTGTTCTCCTGTCATGGCTGCTGTCACGATACAACAGTTGCCTATTGTCTGTTTGATCTGGGAACAGTTCTTAGTAGATGTGAAATATCTTGCAAAGTTTAATATAGTTGATTGATTTATTTTACAGAAATCTCCTGCAGGTTGGCTTCCTGCGTCATTCAATCAGGTAGGTGTCTTGTGAATAAATAATAATAATAGTTAATGATTTACTAAATCATGTCTTAAATTTCAAATCTGGGCTCGGAATAAAAGTTATTTTTGTTCTTCACAGATTTTTGCAAAGCTAAAACTATTGCAATTATTCTAGCTACCATTTTAAATTTGTTTTTGTGGTGTGATGTTTTGTTCAAAAAGTCCATTCACAAAATATGAGCATTTAGATGTTTTGAGGTAAGAGCCGGGATTGAAATTTACAACGTTCATTGAGTGCAAGTTTCAAATCAAGATGGAAATCAAACTTCAAATATAAACTGAATCTTTGAACCTTGATAAGAATGCATGAGTGAGTTTGACTGTAAATCTCCTAGAAAATTGAAATACTCTATTTGGAATGATTCTTTCTGTGCATGTGTGTATAGTGAAGTCAGAGAGGTAGGATGTTAAGCTACACTTCCTTTAGTATGCTTCCTTTGTTTATGCTATAGATGTTTTCAAGCTATAAAAGCAAGTCTGGTGACTTCAGAAGACTATTTAAAGATTTGCCAGACAGTGAGCAGCTTATAGTAGGTTGGTAGCTAATCATTCCTTAAAAACAAAGACATGTAGTATTTGAATGTACACTTTGTTTAAGTGTACAGGTGGAAAGTTTTTTCCCTTGTCAAAACCTTACAAACTAATTTCCAATTCAATCAGTGAATTAGTTAAAGCCTGACTTCGAACAGCTAGCCCAGAGGTTGTTTCAGGGTTCAATCTATGAGTCAGCTGTACTTGCCTGACATAGTTCAACCCAGAGTTTTTTTACCTCGATTTTCCGACTTTTTCAATATTAGAATATTTAATATGAAATAACTATTGATATTATTTTTCCCATTTTAGATTATTCTTGTGCGCTACAGCGTGATATCCTCGTTCATGGCCGTCTTTATATCTCACAAAATTGGCTCTGCTTTTATGCTAATATATTTGGATGGGAAACCTTTGTAAGTACTTATATATTTATTCATTAATCACTAATTCAACTCTCTTGCAGAAGTCAGGTGGTCTAAGAAACTACTGTAGCTAATGATGAATAAATCTTTTTGCAGGTTACCATAAAGTGTACAGACATTACTAGTATTAGGAAAGAAAAAACAGCTCTTGTCATACCTAATGCAGTTCAAATAAACACAGAATCTGAAAAGGTAACATATATCGACACTAACGAACAGTGTTGTTCTTAGTTTTACCAGTGATTAAAACTATTGCAACATTTAAGGTGTGCGCACAGAGTTAAGGATGCAAAGGATGCATACTATTAATGGCTTGTTAAACTACAAATTGGTCCCCATTAATCTGCAGCTACTTCATGACTTTCTCCTATTATTTTAAAACTTAATGAAACCCCTGATGCATAATCAAGACTGCTAAGTGCAAGAGAGAGGTAACACCTGCATAAGGCAAATGCCAAAGTGAGAGTTACTTCTCAAGCGTGCGGCATATCGTACAGGGGAGCAGTAAAAGGGACTATCAGAAAGTCTACCCAGTTTCTTGGATTACGACATTGTTTTGCAATATTGTGTCACACTGCAGCATAGTTCATGTTCACTCAATTGATTGCAAGCATGTCAAGCTAACTACAATACACCTTAAAGTAGTTGACCTGGACTCTGCCCTTTGTTAACAGTAAAACTTGGTGGTTGTCCTCCATTCTTCATGTACCATCAAATTAATATCATTTTATTTCTTCTCTTTTTCAGTATTTCTTTGCATCATTCATATCCAGGGACACTGCATTTACTGTTCTCTTTAGGATCTGGCAAAATGCTCTACTTGATCAGGTGAGGATTACCTGAAAGAACTAATTCAAATAAGCCGTGTTTCATGTGACAGTACCCTATCTTAGAGACTATTCATTTTTTGCTGGGGGATGGGAAGGCAATAGGGTTTTTATTACAGAGAGGGGGCAGATTTTTGGGGGTGAAAAGATATTGGTTACCAAGTGAATCCGACCATCACCCACCCCCCACCCTCCCCCCCCTCAAATGAAAAATAAGAGCGCCTAATATGTATAGTGACAGCTTTTTGACTGTGATTTTGTATTGTCTTTAGCCCCTGACTCCTTCAGAACTGATTCATATGGTTGGAAAATATGTTGAGTCAGATAAAGAAGACTCAGATGACTCAGATAAGGACCTCAGCAGTGAAGACTCAGACCTTTCTGGTGGAGAAGAAGAAGATGATGAACCAGAAGATGTTGATGATGATGATTTTGATGAAATTTTGACTGATGATGAGGTTACAAAACAAGATGATGAGGATAAAGAAAACAAAGCAGACAACAGTGCTTTCAAGGTGATTAAATTTTTTCTTGTTTTGAGAAGAATTTTTAACATGAAAAAAGTATATTTTTGAGTTTGAGGAAGTTCCTTTTTTAGAGTGAGAGCAAGAATTGGAGAAAATGTAGAAAAAAAGGAAGGGATAGACAAAAACCCTGCTACTTTTTTAACTTCTTATTCATTTGTTTAGGGGGAAACTTATCTTATTCTAAATTTATTTTCATTATCTTAGCCTGTCGGCAATAGTGCATTGACCACAGCTCCTGAGTTGTCTATCACACCTCCATCACCAACGCAGTTAAAAAAGAGTGAAAACGGTAATACATCTGAAGGATCATCTGTCACACATAGAAAGAAGCGTTCACCTTCCCCAGTCTCTAAAGGCTCGGACATCAAGAGTCTACTAAAGTCCATGAGAAAAGACAAGTATAAGTTATCCGATACTGAGGAGACTACTATGAAACATATTAAAGAAAGCAGCGACATGGATGAGGAAGGCTCTGTTTCTGAGTTTTTAGAAGAGGAAAGTAAAGGTAATGATAAAAAAATGGGATTTCACAGAGGGGCTTTTCATCCAAGGAATTCCAATAATAGACCCCTTCACGGTTCCCTGCGCCATCTTGAAAGGTAGCTGGGCCTTTGCATTGAAGCGAGACGAACGGTGAGCTTGCAATGATAGGGACCTGTGAATAATTGTCTAAGGTGTTACAACTTGCAATGCCAATTTGTTACAACTTGCAATGCCAAGTTGTAAGGACTTGCAATGCCAAGTCACACCAGGTCAAGACTGTAATTGTGTACTTTAAGATCAGTCGACAAATGGTTATTAACGTTGGCAAATGTATGGCTGACTTCCTTCTCTAGCTTGTTGAGACATTTCTTATTTACAGTATGGTTGGTTTTTATTCAGAACCCCACAACTGCATGTGCGACAAGCATCTAGCTATAGAGATGTTGAATGAGGTGAGATTACAAGAAACTTTTGAATATGTACTGTCTTAAAGTTAAAGTTTCCCAGCTAAACGAGTCCTATCTCTGGTGACAGGGAAATTAGTAGATTGAATGAGGTCAATTAATTTTAGAGCAGCCAAACTAGAGCTCGGAATTTTTTCCCAAGAAACATTTGCTTGAATAAACATTATTCATGATGAGATGATGAGATGAGATTTTTAAAAAAAATTTAAAAATTAAAAAAGAAATTATAAAAAAAATTTTATTTTTTAAAATTTCCTCCAAATTTTTGATATATTTTCTCTGTTGTTTTTTGTTATATCTTCAGGTTTGGCCATTGTCAGTGGATGACTTGTATGGGCTATTATTCACAGAGTCAAATTTCTACAAAAAACTCCAAAAACACCGTAAAACTAAAGATCTGGTGTTCAAACCGTGGACCAAGTCTGACGATGGACAACATAGAACCATTACCTATACTATTGCTTTAAATTATTCTATTGGGCCAAAGACATCTCCTACAACAGAAGCTCAGGTAATCTAACGAATACTAAATTTAAAAAAAACCCAAACATTACAGTTTCTTTAAGCTATAAAACAACCTCCTCATTAATTATTAGCCATTCTAAGGTTGAGGGAAAAGCTTGGTCGAGTTGAATTGGCATTATTGCAGATGCCGTCTTGGAAATATGTCCCCTATAATTGTCCCACAATGACGACCCAGTTTTTCTCAACCTTGGATTGGCTAATAGCATTTTGATTACTCATTATTTTGTACTTCAATTTTATCCAACCCTAAAAACAACAATAAATTTATGTAATTTATACTTATCAGAAAGTTTTTTTATTCTAGCATTGCTTCAAGGGTAGCGTTCCAGGCAAAGTCTACATTGTACAGGCTGTGGTAAGCTTTGATGTGGCCTTTTATTACCTTATTTGGACTCATTTGAAATGGTGCAATAATTTGTGATTATTTTTCCAACAAAATTCCTGGCATAGTGGTTGCAAGGGGAGGTCAGGGTATTTGAATACCAGTTGCATTATGTGAGTGGAATTGGTTGGTTCTCTTTCTGAATCAGTGGGTTTTCCAGCTTTTCCTCCCTCAAATCAACCCTAACTTATTCAAACTGGTTAGAGCTGTGCTCTGGGGTCATACATGGACTGTATAGCGGCTGCCAGAGGCAACTTCACATGCTTTCAGTATGACCCTGTTTAGTTGTTCCACTGCTGTACTTTGCAGTGGTGCTTAGCAATAACAAGTTTTTTTTGGTTAATTTTCTTCTCTACTGTATAAAATTGACTGATAAATTTTGCCAGTTACCTCGATTTTCAAACTCGCAAAAGACCTATTAGTAAATTCAAATCCAAGATATTTATCACATGTTGTGTATTTAGGTGAACAATGAAGGGATACCATATGGTGATAGCTTTAGTGTGGTGACTAGATATTGTATAACCAAGTGCACAGATAAATCCTGTAGACTAAGGTGGGTATAACATATCGATGGTTTTCAACCATTTCCAAGGGAATTGAATAGGAGGATATAACAAAAGAATTCATTGACAATTTTTTTGTTAAGTTCCTCCAACATGGCCGCCGTGAAAACCATCAATACCTCTCTCTCTCTCTCTCTGACAGTTCTTTGCCCTCCTCTCTGACTTTTGCTAGTTACGTTACTCCCCACCCATCGTCAAGTGTTTATGACAACTATATTACCCCCCACCCCTCCCGTCCTCCCATTCCATCACACATGAGAATATATTAATAAATTAAGTCCCTTTTGATCTTTCAGAATAACCAGTGAGATAAAATATAAAAAATCCGTCTGGGGTTTTGTAAAAAGTAAGTAGAAATACCGTTAGAGTAACTATTCTTTGTTATCTTCACTAACGAGAGAACATCACTAACTTGTAGTCATTTTTTCCCCTTCAGACATGATTGAGAAGAATGCATCYGATGGTCTCAAAGAATACTTCACGTTTCTAGGTAGGTAAATATTACAGCACATGGGCACATACTACCACGCACCTGTGTCAAGAGATTTGTCGGGAGTGTCAGAAATGGGACATCCAGAACAAGATGGATCAGTTTGCGCGAAGAAAAAAGCACATTCACGCGCGCAAAAAAGGGCAGGAAAAAGTTGCCCATGGTTACTAAGTGTTTTAAATTGTTATTAGAGAAAGGAGTTAATGGAAGGCGCAGGATTTTAAACTCAGAAATCTCTATCCCCTGTTTTTGCTACAGGTGAAAGCTTACGAAAAGAGACCCACACCGATCAAACGACGAAACGACGAAGAACTTCGCCAGGAAGACGTCATAAACGGAACCGTAGCCTCAAGAGTCGGGAAGATATTCTGCCTTCACCTAGCTCGACATCTTTGTCCGGTAAGTCTTCAGTGAAGGGGAATATCAAATTCTGTCTTCTCGCTTCTATCTTATTGATGCACCTTGGAAAGGGTGAGTAGGGGGTTCATGTTCCCCAACCCCTCCCCTCTCAGAAGTTTCTTATACTGTCCTTAAAAACAAAGTTAAACTAACTACTGTATGGTGTCCCATTTACTTCCCACTGATATTCATGTTATATGACTTGATTCAGATAAAGCAAGCCAAAATCTGCCACTGTGGAAGAGGACAGTATCAGGGCTGCTATCGGTCAGGTACGTTGCTTTGGCCTGAATACTAGTATAATACGCGACAATAATTTTATTGYGCGACTTACTGTGCATCGACTTGAACTTAGATGAAATTGATCGACAATGTTACCAAATCTGCTAATCGTTCCCGCATGACAAGTTGACAGACATATTTTTGCGCAATTTTGTTGCGCGAGCGACGGATAAAGCATCGTCCACTGTAATATCAGTTTAACTTTCAACTCATTGTTTGATTACCAAAAATACATACATGCTTCTTGTTGTAAGCTTATGATAATTCCGAAACCTCTGTTTTAGACGTTTGGAATTCATGTGTCAAAATTCGATACGAGGAAATATTTCGAGACAAAACTTCGCCTATAGAAATTTATTGATGTCAGTATTTGTATTGTGAAAGTATCTTTAACTAACTGCAATTAACTTTCTTTCAGGTCTAGTTTCCCTTCTATGAAGACAGAAAGCAAGTTCGCTTTGGCAATTGCTATCCTGTAAGTATCAGTTGCATGCACCACACCGCTATGAAAGCATTCGGTTCCAGTAAATTTATATTTTTTGGGGGAGGGGGTCGGAGTCCTCCAACGAGGCGCTACTAACACCATGTGATGGGCTGGTCAACTTAAGCTAACAAAACAGTTTTCATATTTAAATATATTCGTTCAAAACATGAACTACTATGTTTGGGCACTCACAGCTTGACGTTTTTCCTAACTGTAGAGCCCAACAACCCTTGAAGCAACACTATTCTTGTATGGGTTTGGGGAGGGGTCCATCTTTCTTTTGCATCCACCTCTTTATTATACAGGTTAAGGTATTAACACTTTTTATTCGTCTGCTTCACAGTTTAGCATGTTTACTTGCCCTCAACATGTTCCTGACCGGCAGATTACTGGCTCTAGAACGAGGCACACAGATGAGAATGGACTGGCCACGTGACTTAGAGTAAGAATACACACACCTTCTTTACAATACTTATGCCAATATATACTAGCATACCTAATCACAAGGCTTTAGGACTCAGACAAAGACAAGCGGCAAAAACTGTTCTGGTAGTCGCTCCACCCTTTAAGTCTTGCGCATCTATTAACGCACAGTCCGAGTTCCTTTAGATTGTACTTAATATGATTTGACTTTGTTTTCAGAAACCTACCGACAGATGCTAAAGAATGGGCACAGATGTTACAGCAGCAAAAAGAAATGCATGAAAAAGAAATGGAAAGGTTGGTATTGATTCATTCATTACCGTACAGTTATCCTTAAGGTAATAGTGCTAATCTCTCCATTTTATCGTGACTAAAATGACTGGTTTATTTCTCCAGATGGAGGGAAATCTTATCGACATCAATTAAGCTAATGAACCAGGTATGTTTTAGTACCGAATTCGTAAATCTTAGGCAAATAAGAGGTGAATTACCCCAAAAGAAAACCACGAGCCAAAAGTTTGCATACAATTTTAGTGTCAAAGGCGAATCCAGGGTTCCAAATACTGAATTAACGCGAAAATATAAATTGTGGGCCCCTGCCCCTCCCTCAGAGTCCACTAATGGAGAATCCATCAGTCACTTTGCACACAGACTATTAATCAATGTCGTAAAGAATTTAATGCTGAAATGGAAGCCAATTGAATGTCTGTGGTAAAACCATTTTAGTGTCAATCGGTAAACCAATGCAGTGCTGACTTAGAAACCAACATAATGCATATGAACTACTTCATTCTAATGAGCCTTCAATTAAGAGTAAATTCTATAATTTGTAACTTAACATTTTTATCTTCCAGGTTCAAGATTCTTTATCAGAACTGAATAAAGAACTATCACATTAGGAGAATACATTCTAGGATATAAGAAATACTCAGTTACCTGTAACTTCAACAGACTTATTTCGTTAGTCAACTTTCGTTTTTTGCGGCGATTCCCTTCGGAAATCTGTCGGAAGCCGAAGTTTGAATTCGACGACTCGCCAACGGAAAAAATAACGAGCGAGACTTGGAGCAAGTCTAGTTTTTTATGCGTGTGAATTATTTTTGATCGATTTTAGAGACTGTACATAGTTTGGTTCCGAAGATTTGTCTGCTGGTCGGACAAAACACAGCACATCTGTGTACAACTTCAAAGTTGTTTTTTCTACCCTCTTTAAAGAGGGTATTTTCCTAAGTGAAATTATAAAATGTTTACACAGCACATCTGCGTACAACTCAAAGTTATTTTTTACCCTCTTAAAAGAGGGTATTTTCCTAAGTGAAATTATAAAATGTATTTCATACTTTGGTTTTGAAAGTAGGAATGGAATTATTTATGAAAAGAAAGTAGGAAAAAAATAAAACGAAAAAAGTTCGAATTTTTGTGTCAAAAAAAATTAGTGGTGACATTCTGACTGAAGGTAAAGATGTAAAATATATGAACAAAGAATAAAATAATTTATTGATAGTAATTCAGTTGTGGTTTATCGGTTGATGAGAATAGATATAGTTAGTTTGTCAATCAAGACGGGCTTCAAAAATACTGGACTATTTACATTAGTTTATGTGTGAAAATAACAAAGAGAAGAAAAAGAGCTATCCTTTAGATCCATGGTCTGTCCCGTGAGATTTTTTATTCCAGTGGGTTTCCCGTACTGGGTTTTAAAACCCGTGTGAATCCCGGTAAGTCCCGCAGTTACAGGTTATGTCCCGCATATATGGTAGGTCGGCGTGTAAACTTTCCACAATGGGTGGATATGGAAAGGCAAGTTCTGTCAAAATGACATTGACAGCTACTTCACCCAAACATCGATAAACTGTAATAAAACCGGAATTACACAACACAAGATATTATATAATACACGGATCAAACACTAGCGCTCAGAGATACTTGTATAATACATTGGATTGGCACATTTTCTTGCCAATAACCTACACCATTCACTCATTCTCATATTGATTAGTCTATCCCTGTGTGGCGATGAGATTAGGGTTGACTGTTACACTCTTGGTGCAGTCGTGTGTCTTGTATATACCAATCAGACGATCTGCTAGCTCGAACATGTTGTTACGAAGACTGATGATGATGAATTGAGCGTTCTTCGTTCGTTCCTGCAAAACAAACAGCACTACAGTCACTTCAATGTCAAGTGTTTATCACGAGCCAAGGCTCAAGCACCTATCATAAGCGCAAGGCTCAAAGCAGAGCAAGGGGAAGGGGCTTCCTTTTGAAATTTGAGATAAAGGAATGAATGGATGTACCTTAATGTAGTTAGCGACAATAGATACGTTCCTAAAGTCAAGAGCGGCGTCTATCTCATCCATGACGTACAGTGGCGTTGGCTTGTAGTGATGAAGGGCAAACACCTTTGTCAATAGAATATCGTTAGATAGAGTAATTCTATAAGTAATAAGTAATTCTCTCAGGCTTGCAAGTGGAAGGTATAACAGACCCTCTTAGCTCAGGAGTAATGTTTTCCCATTTCAGACTATGAGTCATTCTCTTAGGAATACGATTTTTTGTTTGAATTGTATCTGTATAGGCCCGTTTTTTCAAGGTTGCGCGTTCTCATCTGAATTTAAGGAACTTGACGGGCCACGAAACCAGAACAGGAGCTTATAATGAGAATTATCATACATTTCTATGAATTTTTTTYCGATAAGAATTCGTAAAATTGATTATTCTCCTCTTTAAATACAAAACTGTCTCCTCAATTTTACTGAATTTGCGTTTTTCAATTTTTTCGCCCGTCAAGTTGGATGCACACGCAACTTTGAGAAAACGGTCTATTTCTCATGTGCAGCTTAGGGAATGACACACGGTCTGAAACGTTACGCCCAAAGTAATGAGGTCTATTTAAGGTTGGGTTGCCTGACTTAGGCGTCACCTACCAGTGCCAGCGAACTTAGTGTTTTCTCGCCTCCTGAGAGATTTGATATGTTTTTCCAACTCTTCTTGGGCGGTCGAACGCTAGAATAAATAATGAACTGTTTTAGATGGATTTTATAGTGGAACAGATCACCACCGCATTACGCAATCAGTCGTACAGAATTGACCCCTTACCGTGCGTGGGTTCACTGCTCATGCACAAAGCATTCGACTGAGGGTTGAAGTTAGTTTCAAAGGTTATTTCAATTTGTACCTTGGAGCCTCGATTGAGCGCTTTGTGTTTAACCCTTGAATCAATGTACCAAAAAGCGTCGATTCAGCGATTGTACCTTGGAGCCTCGATTGAGCGCTTTGTGTTTAACCCATGAATCAATGTACCAAAAAGCGTCGATTCAGCGATCGTACCTTGGAGCCTCGATTGAGCGCTTTGTGTTTAACCATGAAACACTGACCAAAAAGCGTCGATTCAGCGACTGCACGCATAACTAAAAACGATAGTATATACCTGAATACAATGCCTTCCGAGAAAGGATCCAAGCTGTCCACGAGCTCCAACTCGGCATCTCCACCCAAAGTGATCATCTGGTAATGGTTAATATAGGTTAATAAATAGACTACCCTAATCCGTGGAGCAAAGGTTAGACATGGCGGATAAGGGTGCAGGGTACACTTTAAGTAGGTTCCCTTAACAATTGGTTTCTTTTGTCTTGTTCTCAGTATATAAACACTCCTTTTTACCACCTCTTTCTCTTATACTCCGACGAAGGACTAGAGTCCGAAACGTCAGTAGGTTTTTTCATCTTTTCAGGGTGTATAATTTACCCTTTTATCATTACTGTTTCATTAGAAACACCGACGCAGCTCACACTAGTTTTTAGCTAGTTATCTCTTCCCTTAACGATGTCATGCGTTATGTCGCACCGGGTGTTTGCACCGTCTATCACACTATCCCCACTCTATAATACCCAATACACATCATAACTTGAGAGAGCAAGGCGCTGGTATAAAAACGTTGTACGGATATCAAGAGCGACCAGTCCTATCAATGACACGCTGCCAGTCCTGTACATTGTGCGGTAATCGAGTAGCCCCACCCAGAATACCCTAGAGTAGCCCTATAATGCGTGCAGTGTTCGATAGCCAATATTTACCTGATACATTTCTTTTAGTTTAGTTGTTATAATCGTAAATCCTGCCATAAATTCGTCCAGTCGTTTCTTTCTTAACGCCTCGTGTTCACGTCTCCTGCCATCACGATCTGAAGTCACTTTGTCCAGCTCACCTACACGAGCTAGATATGCCTCTTCCTGAATGGTTCAATAAAAATGAAAAAATGGATAAGTAGATGGATAAATGGATGAATGGGTGAGCAGATGGATGGATGGATGGATGAAAGAATGGATGGATGCATGAATGGATGGATGCATGAATGGATAGATGAATGAAAGAATGGATGGATGAATGAATGSATGCATGCATGAATGGATAAATGAATGAAAGAATGAATGGATGAATGAAAGAATGGATGGATAAATGAAAGAATGGATGGATGAATGGATAAATGAATGAAAGAATG